AGGAAACTGTCCCTTTTGAAAAATTTGGCCAAAATGTGTTTTTCTGGCTGAGTTAGGGCTTGAGCAGCATGAGGTGCTCCCAGAGCTTGTGCTTGGTTCATGCCATAGCATCTGTCTGTGCTGTTGGGGATGGAGGAGGTGACTCTCATCCCTGGGGACAAGGTCCTCAGTTGGTGGCTGACCCTCCCTGCCACTGGTCCTAGCTGCCTGGAGATGGAGCAAGTGGGGCTGGGAATGCTGGTGTGTCCGGAGGAACCAGCTTTGCTTCTCTCCCAAAAAATCCTCAGCGGGCTGGGGGTGCCTGCACTCCCCTCTCGCACCGGCGCATCGCTCAGGGCAGCTCCAGCTGCTTCCTCTCCTGTCCCCGGGTGGGTTTGATGAAGTGGAGCAGAGAATCGTCCGTCCCCTCTTCACACATGAGAGATCAGAGCGAATGGGTGTGAGCTGCTGGCCCTGCGCTGGAGGGATGGCAAGGAGGAGGAGGAAGGCAGTGGCAGCCCTGGGTGCCAGACCATGGCGCAAGGGGAGATGGTGGCGGTGGCTGCTGTGGGTGCTGATATCCCCTCTGTCTCGCAGGCTGTGGCGGGAGCTGAGCTGACTTTGCTGGTGGCCCCTCCCCACCCCGCGGCAAGGCTGTAGCCAGAAAGCACCGGTAAGGCATCTCCAACGGCCCTGGGGAGGGGGCACCAGGCTGCTTTGCTGAATTAACCCACGTGGGAAACAGGAAACCCTCTTGACCCCCTGGGGGGGCTCAGATCTGGGGTACCGGGTGCTCTGCAACAGCCGGATTTGGCCCTTGAGCATCCATGGGTGGGTAGGGTGCTGGGTGTAAGAGCAAAAGGCAGAACCCTCCATTTGTCCTTCCCATCCCTTGATGCTCCCTGTGGTGTGGCCAGCCTGTGGGGGCAGAGCTGAGGCCTCACAACTCAGCACCATGGTGGCTTGCGATTTGCCACTGGCACTGACCCCCCAGAGTGGAAACCAGGGGAGTTCCTGCAGGCTGCAACGGGCCCGGGGTGCTAATCGCCGCTGCAGGAAAGCTGCCTCTGTACACTGCCTCGCATCAGTCAGAGACGAGTGCCAGGAATGTTGGCCGCGGTCCAGCCCGCCACCGCTGCACAAGCCTTGGGAGGGGAAGCCCTGCCGAAAGCTGAGGCACTGGCCAGGATGGGGAGTGGTGCTGAGCCCCCCCATCCCAGCACTGTTGGCTGCAAAAAGCATGGGAGCAGGGAAATATCCCGCTGGGCATCAGCTGGGCTGCCCTGGCTGGACGCTGGCAGCTCTGTGTGTGCCTGCAGCCTGTTACATGTAGAAATACCGTACATTAGACATAAATACAGCATAGCTGCTGGCGGTGGGTATATTTTGCAATCTGGCCACTGTGATGCTGTCCCACAGCTCCCAGTGATGCTGCTGGGGTGTGCTGGGAGCCACCGTGGCGGGGTGGTGGGTTCACCCACTTCCTTCTCTGCCCCTTAGCTCTGGTGGGGCTTTGTCACTGCCAGCTCTGCTGGAGGCAGGTGGGTCTCTCCCTGCCAGCAGGGCTGGTGCGTGGTCCCTCTTTCCCCGGGGACCTGAGTGCACAGCACATTCCTGCCATCATTAATAACTCCTCTGCCAGGCTCTTGCACAACCCCCTTCATCCTCCTAGGGGAATTTGCACCCTTTCCTCACCAGCTGCCAAGGCAGTGATGTGGGGGCTGCAGGGGATTTCTCAGACCACCCTCTCCTCACTGGGGGCGGGTGGGGAACGTCCCCCCTGGGGTGGCTGCAGGGCTAAAGCCGCACGGTCACGTTAGCTGAGTTACCTGGGTCTCTGAGTGGGGATGGTACGAGGCTGCCAGTCCCTCTGGGTATGTTTTGGGGTTGTCATCTTATGTTTTGCACTAGCTAAATTGAAATTAGTGTGTGCAGGTGTTTAGGTGCAAAGGTTTTTGCAACAGGAGAGTTTGGAGTGGGGCTTGCTGCTCTGCAGCCCCTTCCCCAGATGACAGCAGGCTTGTGCCTCCTCCTCATCCTCCACTCCCATCTTTGGCTCCTGCAGCCAAAGCCCCAGTGGCTGGATTGTGCCCCATCAGAACAGCACATCCTGGTGAGCAGCACAGTCCCAGCACAGCCCTTGCCAAGGAGGGTTAGCACCCAGTTGCAAGCTGGGAGCTTGTGATGCGTGTTGGAGAGCCCTCCCTCCCCAAAACCACTGCACAAGGAGGGATGAACTTGTGGTCCCAGGCCGGGACCCACCTGGAAGATGCATGTCCTGTGCCCGTGGGCTAATGGATGTGAAGGCGAGGACCCCCGGTGCTTTGGGGACATTGGGGAAGTGCCTGGGGGATACACTCTCCCCTTCTTGTGCTCTGCTCCTGGCTAATCTCTAGGCATATTAACTATTTTCTACTCTGATTTTTCTCAGCGCACTGATAAATCAGTTGCCAACCCAGGCTGGCAGCCCCGCGGGGTGCGCTCAGGGGACGCTTGTATTCCCAAAGTGCTGCTAAATCCGCCGCCCTGGCCGGGGTGTTTTCCTGCCTGGGGAAGTGCTGCTTCCAGGGGAAACTCTGAGCAGCTGTGCCCTTTGCTCACAGTCGCGTGGGCAGTCACAAGCCGTGTGGTCACAGCACCGCCGTGCCCTCGCTTTCCTCCCCGCACTGCCGCTGCCATCCCGGGAGCACCAGTGGGTGCCGGAGCCCCGGGTGGAGGTGAGCAAAGGGCTGACCGGGGGGACGGGGAGGTTTGATTTCCTTACCGGTGGGGGCTTTTCCTTGTCATTTCTAAGGTCCTGCTTTCCCCCAAGTTCTGCTTTAGCATCTTCTGCACCAGGCTTTTAAAAGCGCATTTATTTATGTGACAGACCCCTCCTCTTCACCACAGGCTCTGCTTCTGGATTGCTGTCGGTGACAATTTGCAAGCGCAAAGCTTATATTTGACCTTCCTATGCTCTGAGGCCCCCAAAGCCCAGCACAGATATGCGTGGACAGAGTCCCCTGGCACGTAGAGGCATCGGTCCTTCCTCATTGCCTGCACATGTAGGAGGAAGGACAGCTCCACTCCCTGCTGGAGTGGCTGGTGTAGCCGTACCCAACCCAAAAAATCAATTTATTCTGATTCCCAAACCCTGGCAGGGTCTGATCCCACTGGCAGGGTTGCAGCTGAAGCAAACCTGCGTGGAAGTGGGACAGGGGATGCTGCCAGTCATCTGTGCAATTTGGGAGCTGGAAAACAGTAGATAGAAGTTGGGTCTTTTGGGAAATAAGCCCTGATTGTCAAGCAAAGCCCTCACCATGGGGAGGGAGGCTGGGAGAGGAGCAGAGCTTGTGCCAGGCACCCCTGAACTTCCCTGCAGCAGGAGCCAGGGGGCTCTGCCCCACCGATGCTAGGGTTGTGAAGGCTGCTGGAGCTGCCCTATGGCTCTTGTCCTGTTTATGGAGGTTTGGCCCAAGCTTCTGTTGAAAGCTGGGTAAGAAAAAACAGTCTGTTGGGTGAGGCTGAGCTCTTGGCAAAGCCTCACAGGCAGCTGCGTCCAGGTTCCCCTCCGGTCTGCACCCCGCAGGCAGCGGCTGCCTCCTCTGCTCATTCCCTGCTTGTTTATTATTTGAGATGTTCTCCTTCCCAGTTGTCTCCACCTCCCTTTTCCCTCCTGCCATGCATGATCTAGCCTAAATGTTTCCTTCCATAGCTTCATGACACTGCTGGATATCCTGCCATCTTTGGAGACTGCAAATAATTCCCTTCCTCCATTTATATCATTACCTTGAAGGTATTTATAGAGCATGATCTTGAGTGGAAAGGAAGGCATGACTATATATAAAGCTGAGATCCCTTGGTCTTTACCTGCTAACTGCCTGGAACTGCTCCCAGTTTAAACTTTTCTCCCATTTGCTGCACATTTTGGACTTCACAGGAACATCCTCAGCATTTAAATCCCCATCCTGAGCAAGGAGAGTAATGCAGCTATGGGTTCTCCAAATTTCTGCTGTCGGAGTAATCCAAACTCATGAATATTTGTCTGGGTCTTGTCTTCTCCTGTCCATGCCCTGGTAGAAATCCTCATGTAGGAGGAAATGTGGCTGTGTGGAGTGCTGAGCTACACCCCATGGCAGGCGCCTGGCCCCTGTGCATCCCCAGTCACCCTCCTGAGCACTGGTCCAGGCTCCGTGCTTGGCATCCTCGCTCCACAATCCCGCAGCTAAGCATGCTTCCCTCTGCTCCCAAAGTGTGCCCTGGCAGCTCTGCTCCTGACATTTCGCTGGCCACTCTTGGCAAGGCAGGAGGTGGCTTGGCATTAATGAGGGGCAATGCCATCCCACGGCAAGGGCAGGATGGCCAGACTTTCTGGCAGCTGATGCTTGAAAAGACTCCGGAGGTTGTCTCCTTTCCTAGTGGGCACACATCTGTCGTGCAAGCCCTGGGAAGCAGCTTAATAATAATAATTATAGTTATAATAATAATAAAAGAAGCCCTCTGCATGTGTGTCTGTCTCCTCCAGCCTGGGACCATGGGGAGCAGCAAGAGCAAACCCAAAGATCCCAGACAGCGCCGGCGCAGCCTGGAGCCCACCGACAATGCCCACCATAGC